TTTCCACCTGCCCAGCTCAATTTTATGAACCACTGACTCTTGGGTGCCTCTTCCCATTCCCCCTTTTTAATTGATTTGATTTGTCTACGGATGGATGTTAATCTTTACCATCACATGCTGGATAGTAAGGAGCAAATGACAGGCCTCTTCAGATTATAAGTCTGCAGACTTGAGAAAAGTTGTTCTTAGGGAGCTGCTGTTTAATAACTACCAAAGAAACCTTACACTTAGATTTAAGGACTTGATTTTCATATGACATTCTGGACTATGAGGAGATGTTTAACAAAATACAAGGTCATGAATCGGTCACTTGGAAGCTGCTTTTCTATAGCACTGACTCCTCACTTGGGCCATAAGATAACTAAAAGCAGGATGAAAACCTGGCATCTCTGCCTTCATTTTGTGCATTTCCTTTATGTTGGTCACCTGCTTGCTTTGGCTCAACAGTATGTTAATCACTCAAGGAGCGTTTGCCTAGCCTCTCTCACTCCCCTTCAAGGATGTAGGCTCAGAGGTAAATCATTGTCCTAAACCTGCAGTTACCTTGGATTCCAGGAAAGGCAGAACCTCATGGGACAGACCTGTGCCTAGAGAAGGGAAATAATTCATGATGGTGAGGCTGTATGCACCCTAGAGAAGTAACCATCTCCTGAGAATCATACTGAGCCCCTCCTGTGATTGATGACAACCATAAGGCCCTCTTCAGATCACCTTGCAGAACCAGAACTGAGTCAAAGATCAACCAAGGCCACACCCTGACCAGGATTGCTAAATTATTCATTAGCTCCTGGCCCTTGCCCCAACTCTTCCTCTAAGAACCTAAAACTCATGACAGTATCCTGAAGACAGAATTAAGAGTCATTGGACCCCTTTATTTGTCCTTATCCCAATGTGGCCACATCAAACGAATCTTCTCTCTCTGCTTTTCACCCTTACTCTGTTCTTTAATTGGCATATTGGGGACAGGTGGCCATGCAAAACCTTTCAGGGCTGCCAGAGCTTGGGATTTTGCCCTAAAAACTCAAATTACAGCCACTTTGGTAGAATTCACAGCAGTGAAGACATTCTGCACATGGAAGGGATAAAAATTACTGGAGATCAGAAAGCAGATCAGGCCAGAGAGCCTCCAAGATGGCTACTAATGACCCCCCGCCCCCCACCTGCTAGTATTCACATTATATGTAGTCCTCTCCAATATCATATTAGGGTTTGCTTATGTCACCAAGAGAATATAGCAAAAGTAATGGTATGTTACTTTTGATATGCAATTGCAAACGATATCACAACTTCTGTCTTGCTCTTTTTGTCTTTTGGATGGCTCACTCTGTGAGATACCAAGTGACACATGGTAAAGACAATTAATTAAGTGGTCTATTGCAATCCCTATGTGTCAAAAAATTGATGCCTCCTTCCAACAGCAATGTTGAATGAGCCAGAGTCATCCAGCAAACCTATGTCCAGAAATTGTGTGAGACAAATATTTATAGATTTAAGTCTCTAGGTTTGGGTAACAGGTTGCATGGCAATAGTTAACTAATATAAGAATTATGTCCAATTTATTCCTTTGCTTCTTAAATACTAGTTGTTTAAAAAAATTGTTTTTGAGACAGTATCTCACTATGCAGCCCTAGCTGGCCTGGAACTTGCTAAGTAGACCAGGCTGACCTCAAACTCAGAGAGATCTGCCTCTTGAGCACTGGGATTAAAGGCATGTGTCACCATACCTGTCTGCTTAAGGTTTTTTTTGCTAAGGCCTGGTGTAGAGGCAGAGGCAGGTCCATGTCTGTGACTTCCAGGCCAGCCAGAGAAACATAGAGACCATAAATAAATAAAATAAATAAATAAATAAATAAATAAATAAATAAATAAATAAATAGTTTTTCTTTCCATTTGCATTCTCACCTGGATTTTTCACTTTTTCTTTATTTTTTGTTTTTAAATATTTTGTTATTTTTATTTTGTGTACGAGTGTATTGCCTGCATGCATGTAAGTGTACCCATGTCGTTCAATGCTTGTGGAAGTCAGAAAATAGTGTCTGATTCCCTGGAACTGGTGTTACAAATGGTTGTTAACTGCCATGTGGGTGCTGGGAATCAAACCCAGGTCCTTTGCAAAAGTAGCCAGTGTTCTTTTAACTGCTGAGCCATCTCTCCAGTCCCCCACTTTTTCAATTTTATATGGAATTTGAATTTTGGAAATACATTTTGTAGGTCATATAAAAACTTATATTTACAGCCAGGCATGGTAGTACAGTCTTTAATCCCAGCACTCAGAAGGCAGAAACAAGAGGATCTCTGTCAAATTGAGGCCAGGCTGGTGGACACAGCGAGTCCCAGACAAGCTAGGGCTACCGGGAGACCTGTCTCCAAAAACCAAAACCAAAACCAAAATAATTGTACTCACTAAAAATATACATGTGTTCTACTGTCATTGCTGTCCCTACTTTAAAGGAAATGTGGTCCAAATGAGTTTTAAGATGAACAGAGTTGATTTCTATCTTCTCATAGTTTGCTCTTATAGTGCAAACCGTTTTTATAAATTTGAAGGAAAGGTTTTCATTTCCAAAAAAAATTATCAAGCCTAAAAACAGTGTGCAATCACAGACAAGTCTATAAAAAGACGTCTGTCAACTGCAATTTATAATTTAGAAGAAAGCTTATTGCAGTTTTCAGCTCACTGTCAGCTATTCCTAGGAGGTTTCTTAAAGTGCAGTTTAAAAACATAATCATGAAATGTTAAAGGCCTTCTGTAAACCGACTGATGTCTTCTTCCTGATTTAATCACCCCCAAAAGTTAATAGGAACAGCTTTCTTTATAGTCTACACTAAGAAAAATAAGAAAACCTTTCTTTCAAAACCCAAAACTATATGAAAATAACTTGAAAGGTATTGAATGTCAAGAAAAAGCATAGTTTCCTTATGGTTATCTTTACTAGTTGAATGAATGTCAAGATCTTCATATGAGTTTCCAGAAATTCTCTATCAATAATATAAAATTTTAAATAGCAAATAAAGCCAGGCATAGTGGCATACACCTGTAATCCCAACATTTGAGAGGCTAAGACAGGAGGATCATGAGTTTGAGAGCCACCAGATCTACATGGCAAATTCCATTCCAGCCCAAGCTGAATAGTGAGACCTTATCCCCCAAATAATAAAGATACAAATAAATAAAAAGTAACAGTAAAATGGCAACCAAATAAGCCCTGCCATTAATAACTACATAAATAGGCACACATATATTTGTATGTTTGTTCATTGAGACAAGATCTTGGCCAGGCTTGGTGGCACATGCCTTTAATCCCAGCTGGCCTGGAACTTGCTAAGTAGACCAGGCTGGCCTCAAACTCAGAGAGATCTGCCTCTTGAGCACTGGGTTAAAGGCATGTGTCACCATACCTGTCTGCTTAAAATTTTTTTGCTAAGGCCTGGTGTAGAGGCAGAGGCAGGCAGATCTCTGTGAGTTCAAGGCCAGCCTGGTCTATATAGTGAGTTCCAGGACAGCTGGGGCTACAGGGAGACCCTGTCTCAAAAAGACCAAAAAAAAAAAAAAAAAAAAAAAAACTTGCTATGTAGGCAAAGCTGACCTAGAACTCTATGTAGTCCAGGTTGGCCTTAGCATCCCAAATACTAGGATTATAAATGTGAACCATCATGCCTTATACATACATGATAGGCAAGAACTGTGCCACTGAGTTACTCTCCCAGTACTATGTATCAAACATGCCCTTGCCTCTTTGACTAGGCCATTTCTTCATCTTTAAATAAGAATATCTAATAGAGATATTGTGACAATTAAATGAAATTAAGCACACAAAACAAATAACATAAAATTAGCTCATAGTAACCAAAGTTCTCAATAAGTATAACCAAAATAATAATCCAAAAGACTAATATCAAAAGAAATGAATTCAGTCCTATTCCCTGATCTCCAAAGAGAGATGAAGGGCTGTGGCTGAGGGTTAATCACAAATGGCTAATGATATAATCAACCACACCTACACAATGGAACCACCATAAACTCCAAAAAGGGATTTTGAAGAGCTTCCAGATTAGCAAACACATCCACATACCAAGAAGGTGATACAGTGCCAATTCCACAGGAACTAAAGATCCTAGGTTCCAAATCTTTCCAAATGTCGTTTATTCATTTGTATCCTTCATAATACCTTTTATAATAAACTGACAAACACAATCTGTGTTTCCATGAGTTCTGTGATCAATTATAGTAAATTACAAAACTGAGGATGGGGTGGTAAGAATGCTCAACTTATAGCCAACCTAGTCAGAAGTGTGGGTAACCACTGCCTACAACTGGCAAGTGGCATATTTTCACAAGGGACAGGACTAACCCTTAACCTACATAGTTTGCACAAATTCCAGTTGTGTCAGAATTAAGTAAATTATTACTCATAATTACACCAACCCAGTTGGTGTCCACAAAAAACTAGAGAGCTGTTTGGTATAGAAACCATACATTTTGGTGTCAGAAGTGCTAGTAAGCAGGAATGTCCTGCTGGCAGTGGGGGATGGTGACGGTGGGAGTAACGGAACAGCAGTAGAAGTACAAATAAAAAGAAAGCGGCACTACTCCAAAGAGACAAAGGAACCAAGTAACTGAGATCCCAATGGCCAAAGCTGAAACCACTGGAGCAACAAAATAAAGCAGTACTGGATTATAATATAAATAGAAAATAGAAAATAAATATCCATGAGTTGGAACTAACTATGAATGCTTGTGTCAATAACGGGAAACAGGAGATAATCTTTGCAGAAAATTTTAAAATAATTCATGTAGATTCTCCACCATTATGAAGGGGGAGCACAACCCTATACTCCTTAATTGTGGGATGTGCAAGAGTGTGGAAAATGGAAACAAGAGTACTTTCATAACAGAGAAACCTGACAAATACCACCTCAACCAGGTAATCATGAATGACAGCATCAACAGTAATAAAGTATATTAATAGTATGTACTTTTTTTAACAACTGATTAAGCTGAAAATATGGAATGCTTCATAAATTTGTGTGTTGTCCTCAGGTAGGGACCATGCTAATTTTCTCTGTATCATTCCAATTTTAATATAATGTGCTGCCAAAGCAAGTACTATAGTATGTGTTCTTGATATGATGCAATGAGAATAGACTGTCGCCTCTGTGGTCTTCCTCCCCTTATCTGTGACCACACTCTGCCCATAGGACAAACACTACACAAATCCCAGTAGAGTGGCATGCTGACAAATGCTCCTCAAAATTGTGAAGGAAGTCATCAAGACCGAGATCATCAAGTGCCAATGCCAAGAAGACCTTTAGGTGACATGACAACATAGATGGGCTCCTGGAAAAGAAAGGATATTTGGTAGAAATGAAGAAAATCTGAATAAAGTATGGACTTTAGTTCAATTTTTAAAAATACTTTAAGCCGGGAGTGGCGGCACATGCCTTTAATCCCAGTACTAGGGAGGCAGAAGCAGACAGATCTCTGTAAGACAGAGGCCAGACTGGTCTACATAGCTAGTTATAGTTATAGACTGACTGTAGAGCCAGACTACCTGGGTTTAAAATCTGATTTTGTTGTTGCTGTTCTTTGGTTTTTTTTTTTTTTTGTTGCATGAGACAGGGTCTCACTGGCTGTGCTGGAACTTGCTACAGAGAAAAATTGATTCTCGAAGGGTGTGGTGACACACAACTTTAATCCCAGGACTCAGGAGGCAGTGGCAGGAGGATCTCTGAGTTCCAGGCCATCCAGATCTACAAGGTGAGTTCCAAGCCAGCTGGGGCTACACAGTGAGCCCATCTCAAAGACAGATGGACAGGCAGAGAGACAGACAGATAGATAGATAATAAAGATCTGAGTCTCCATTTACTAATACTGTATCCTTTTGGGAAAGTTTACTTAACTGCTCAAGTATGAAGCTTTCCTCATCTATAAAAACAGGTATTACCAAGGACTCTTCCCTACAAGGTTATTTTAAACAACAAAGTAGTGGTAACATTCAATAGAGTTACCCATTATGTACATTCAATAGAATTACCTATTATCATTACTATTTTGTTTAATTTGGAGAAGTTGTTTAGTACTGCAACAAAGTAAGCTACATAGATTTTTAAAAATATTTTATTTATTTTTATTTTACTTGTATGACTGTATTGCCTGAATGTAGGTAAGTGCACCCATGCGGTGCAATGTCCTCAGAGGTCAGAAGAGGGCATCAGATCCCCAACTGTTACCAACAGTTGTTAGCTGCCAGCTAGTGCTGGGAATTGAACCCAGGTCCTCTGCAAGAGCAGCCAGTGCTTTTAACCACTGAGCCATCTCTCCAGTCCCAGCTACATAGATTTTTTTATAAAGAGAAAATCCATTTTAAATTACTCATTCCCATGAAATATACATAGAAACAGAGAAATAGAGAATATCTAACCTCTGTTTCTTCATGTTAGTTTTCATGAAGTTATAATTTTCTGGTATTTCATCAATAATATTTTAATTGATAATTATTATTATAGCTTTTGCATAAGATTAGACACAAAATTTTCTTGAAATAATAATGTTATATTTCATACTCCTTTAAAATATTTACTTTATTTTTAGTTATCTTATTGTACTAGGCCACAAAGTACATAGACTTACTTATTATAAAATAAATATAATTAAACTAATGTGTCAGTATAACAATAAAATTCCTTTTAGTTGACAAAATCCCCACTACAGGGATATTATATCACCATATAATAATTCTCTTTTCTCCTTAATTCCATTCAATACTACCAATTCCAAAAATTTCACATATTTCATTTTTGTCAATATGAATCCTAATAAAAGTATGTATGATACTAAGTAAAATCAAACAACAGAAAAAAATTTGTTAAGCTTAATTTCAAAGGAAGAAATTAATGATAGTATACACAGAGGGAGCAATCATAACCAAATAAAAGTCCGATCACCAGAAGATACAAGAGGTGTTTTTTGTTTGTTTATTTTTATGTGCTTTGCCTGAAATACTGAAGGAGGCCAGAAGAGGGCGTCCGATCCCCTGGAACTGGAGTTACAGACCATTGTCAGCCACCACCTGGATGCTGGGAACCAAACCAAGGTCCTCTGGAGGAATAGCCAGTGCTCTTAACCACTGAGTCATTTCTCCAGCCCTAGGGTTCTTTTTCAAATAAATAATACAGCCGAGTTTTTCCTGGCACTGAGATGTCTGTATGTATATTTAAACACTTAACTGAGTGTTCAAAACCAATCTACAGAAATTAAGGTAAAATAGTAAGTCCCAAGGGAAGTACCTTCCAACAGAACTGTTAGTACACACAGCAGAGAAGGTGAAGAAATACCCTCAAGGTTAAATAACTGGGAAGTATAATGTTACTGTCCTGCTTGACTCAAGTACCACCAACATCTATTCTAGACAGACCCGTTTACAAAACTGCCAAGGAAGCAATTCTTGTCTTTTCTGTGGGAAAGAGAAAGTTCTTAGTTATTCATATTTTATGAACAACTTGATCCAAAAATTAATATAGGACCAAATACCGGCCAAAAATAGTATAGTCACTCATCATCTAGTTTTATACATTGTGCTTTCATATCAAATGTTTACTAAGGGCTGAAGATGTAGCTCAGTAGTAAAAAGAATTGCATGAGGCCCAGTTCAATCCTTGGAGCGCGCATGCACGCGCGCACACACACACACACACACACACACACACACACACATTCTTTTCTATTAATCGTCTACTTAAAGCACATCCGTTCTAATTTAAAATAGAGCAGCTACAACACATACCTGGTCAATGCTAAAACTCACTAAGGAACAGATGGTTCTGTTGAATCATAAGAGAAGCCCCCACCCCAGACCTGAGGACAGGCCCTAAAGACTCAGTCTGACTAGAACTATAGAGGTGTTACTTCACCCTAACTCTCTTCACCTTAGAAGCTAGCTCCTGTGGCCTGGTTTTCAAATAGGACTGCCAATGCCTCTATTATTGCCTACATATACTATGAGTCTCACTTCATACCCTATTCCTACCCTCACCTTTCCAATCCAGCCACACTAGCCTGCTTAGTTCCTCTAATAAGCCATCTCTTGTTGGCTTTGGGCTTTTTATTTTTTGTTTCATTTCAGGATTTTGAATTTGAATCAACTGCTCTTCAGCAGATGGAATGACACACTCAAAAGCACTGAAATAAAAAAAATAATAGATCAGTGTTCCTCTTCCGGAGCATGATTTTTTTTAACTATTTATCCTATATTTAATTAAATAATTATATAATTATATAATGGTTTTCTCAACAGTAGGTAATCTTAGAAAGGACAAGGCCCACAACTGCTTTATTCCTCACAGAGCACAGTGCTGATACAATGAGCACATTTATGGAATCTTATTGCATATGAAGGACTTGCTACATGCTCTATCACTGAATAAAGCAGTTCTGCCAAGCTCATTTGACATGTGAAGAAATTAGAATACTGAGGATTTTAGCCCAATGTTACCCAGCTCAGAATTTACTACAGATTTCATGTTCTCAGCTACTAACAAATACTATTTACCAAATATAGGATGAAGAAATAATACACATCAAGGCTAGAATGTGTCTTATGAGACCAACAAATAATTCATTCTCCATAATGAAGAATCCATAGCAAGTACTACCAAACCTGTA